TGACTCTTAACTTTTATAAAGAATATCTCTTTGGATTTGAGACTTTAGTCTTTGCAACTTTACAGATCTTCTTTATGCACCAAGAGCTTGTAACACTCCAAAGAGAAAGGAAAAATTTAAATCGCATCATATGCGATTTTAACAACAACATCTTAGCACAAGATCGACCATGCCACTTAGAAGCTAACTTAGCAACAACATCTCAGCACAAATTCGTTGCCTTGAAGAGAACCTTTTAATCTTTCCATGAGAAGGAGGGATCTGCAAGTTGGCGCCTTTCAGATCCAACGTTTTGATTGGCTGATGCTGTCAGAGGTGTGATATGAGGTCTATTTGTATAGCTTAAAGTCCACGTTCAGAACAATGCCTTTAAAGTGTTTCCTATGCATTATTAATTTTCCAAACCAATTCCAGATTAAGCTACACGTGCTGAAAATATGAAGACCAAACATTAATGGGTAATACTGAGCATTGACACCTGCATTTACAGTATATTCCTTAATAGGGAATATTGCATACCTTGTTGTATCACACACAGCACTCATTAAGTATATACAGTTCTGTAAATAACTTAGCAACAACATCTTAGCACAAGGTCGACCGCACCACTTAGAACCTAACTTAGCAACAACATCTTAGCACAAGGTCGACCACACCACCACATAAAACCTAACTTAGCAACAACATCTTAGCACAAGGTCGACTGCACCACTTAGAACCTAACTTAGCAACAACATCTTTGAGACTTTAGTCTTTGCAACTTTACAGATCTTCTTTATGCACCAAGAGCTTGTAACACTCCAAAGAGAAAGGAAAAATTGAAATCGCATCATACGACCCTTTTAACAACATCATCTTAGCACAAGATCGACCACACCACTTAGAAGCTAACTTAGCAACAACATCTTAGCACAAATTCGTTATCTTGAAGAGAACCTTTTAATCTTTCCATGAGAAGGAGGGATCTGCAAGTTGGCGCCTTTCAGATCCAACGTTTTGATTGGCTGATGCTGTCAGAGGTGTGATATGAGGTCTATTTGCATAGCTTAAAGTCCACGTTCAGAACAATGCCTTTAAAGTGTTTCCTATGCATTATTCACTTTACAAACCAATTCCAGATTAAGCTACACGTGCTGAAAATATGAAGACCAAACATTAATGGGTAATACTGAGCATTGACACCTGCATTTACAGTATATTCCTTAATAGGGAATATTGCATACCTTGTTGTATCACACACAGCACTCATTAAGTATATACAGTTCTGTAAATTGACACAAGGGAGGTTTGGTCAATTTTGTGTGAATGCATGTGAAGATGTGTTTTTCCTTTGTGGCTTTGGCCTCCTGTGAGGGGGATTTACGATCATTCACACTTTGATAAGAGTGAGGGAGAACAAAGCAGTTCCTGAGCGGGGGTTACTGTAGGTTCATTTTAACCCCCCTCTCAACAACAGGTAGTGTCATTCCTTTGTTGTCCACAGAGCCTGATCACATCAAAATATAACTTTCCACACATTGTGTGGAAAGGAGTTTTGCCATCTTGACCGCTGTTCACTACAACACTTATTAGCTGTACAGCACACATTATGTGCTTTTTATTGAAACAAATCCTTCTGTGTTTCAGAGACATTCTGCCCACTAAAGCACCCACCGAAGAGCTCATTGAAACAGAGGAACCTCTGGAAGATTATGAAGATGTTTATAATGAGCAAAACATAGAACCAATCACTGAACCCAGTCAACCTGATGACACTGAACGATTTACAGGAGAGCACAAAGAGGACCATACCGAGCCCCCGAAGACTAAAGGTGGTGAATCCAAATTTTACTGCCCAATTAAATCCCTCATATAGCTGCTCTACCATTTTTTAAGTTGCATATATCTCTGACGCAGTACTGTGGATGTACCCTCACTCATATTAAAAATGCACAAGCTGTTTTTATACCGTTTCTCTGACAGAGA